GGTCCCCGCGGGGCTGGGCTGCCCCTTGTCCCGCGAGCGCTCGGCGACCTCCTCGGCACCCCCGCACCGCCGCCACCCCCTCGACTCGCTTTGCAGCGCTGGGGAAGAGGCTCAGCTTTGTTTCACACACACACACACACACACACACACACACACACACACACACACACACCCCATCTATTATACATCTAGGGTACAGATTATATGATATATATTATACACACACATGTACAGATAGTGCACCGTATATTTTATATTACACACACACACACATATACACATGTATTTATACACACACACACATATATGCACTGTGCACCAGTTATATATGCTATACATACAGTGTGTACAGCTATATATAGAGAGCATGTATTTTATATTACACACAAATATATACACGTACACACACATATATATACATATATATAAAATACATGGTGTAGATTATATTATATATATTATATACATGCAGGGTACAGCTGTATGTACACACCATGTATTTTATATTGTACACACACACATAATACACATGCATGCACATATATATAATATACACAGTGTAGATTATATTATATATGCACAATTGTATATATACACCATGTATTTTATACTGCACACATTTATAACACACACATATATACATATATATAATCTACACAGTGTAGATTATATATATTATATCATACAGCTGTATATATGCACCATATATTTTATATTACATACACATATATATACACATATATACACGCACATATATATACATACACATGTATATACATATATAATATACAGAGTAGATTTGTAGATTATATTGTACATACATACAGCATACAGCTGGATATATACACCATTTTATATTACACATGTATAAACATACATACATACTATATACACATATGTATACATATATAATACACAGTGTACAGATATTATATGCATATGCAGCATACAGCTGGATACATGCACCATTCATTTTATATTACACACACACACACATACGTATACATACATTCAGCTGTAGATACATATACATCATATATACAGTGTCCAGATGCTATTATATATATTATGTACATGCACAGTGCACAGAGCTGTATTTCTACTGCATGCACACACATGCACAGCCGAACACACGCTCTGCTGCACCACACACTAGTATAGATCGAGTATTTTCCTATCAGCAACACGCACCATCTCTCCCGGCTCCTGCCTCTTCTTTCTCCTTTTAAACACGGCCCCTTTTTATCCTTTTTTTTTTTTTTTTTTTTTTTTACTTTTTTTTTATTGTTTCAAAACAGTTGTTACAGCAAATAACTGCAGACAGGCCTAGTGTATAAAACAGAGGACTGCTGGCATATGACCAGTGGAGTTTGCTTGCTCACTTTCACAGTATTAAGGGGGGGTTAAGACAAAAAAAAAACAACCTAGTTCGCTTGCTAATCCTCCCGGAGGAAAGGGAGCTGCTAGGGGCGGTTAGAGGGGCAACCCGCTCCCGCCCGAGCCCAGGCTTCACTCACTTCCTATTTTTGAACCGCCCGGCCCGAAGAAATGTTTTGAATTGAGCAGGGACGGAGTCCTGGTATCTCCGACTTCCTCTGCACAAGAGAGCGAAGATAATGCACCCAGGAATAAATATTGACACGGCTCGCACAGAGCCCGAGATAGCTCCCTGCAAGCATGTGTGTGTCCGCCGTCCCCTCCCTCCCTCCCTCCCGCAGACGGACGGCGCGGTCGGGCCCCGGGGGACGGAGCCGAGCTGCCTCCACCCCGGGGGATGGACGTGGGGCAGGCCCGGGAGGGCGGGGGCGGG